ATAGCCATTTGTGTCTTAATAAATCTACTTCTTCTAGATATAGTTCTACTAATCTTTTCAGTCTGTTCTGTAAGTCAATTTCAGTTCTGTCCAGCCAATAGAAAATGTCCTCCCAGGATTTCTCCCACATTTTAATTGCAATAAATAAGATTAATTGATATTGAGTTATCTCTGGAGAAGAAGTGAGGGAAAAATTCACATGTTAATTCTTCTTTATATAGATCAACCTCTCTGACCTTATCAATGATTGGTTAAAACAATCTGACTTGCCAGATGGAATCGGAATACAGCATGTCTCTTTTCCATATTCTCAGACTCCATCTGACTACATATCTGTCATATGATTTTCCTGTTTACACGGTATGATTTGTAAGATATGGCAAGTCACATCTTACCAATCAGAACGTGTAAAGCCCTTCTCTCCTCTTGGTTCTTATTAACATTATTAACATTTACTAGCTGTTTATATTTAAAGGAGGTGGGTATCAAAAATGCTTTAAAAATATTATTTAAATCCACATAGTTATATTTTATATATTATAATCTGAAACTAAAAAGTATTTCTTTTTAATAAGGAGAATGTACTTTGTTGCCTTTTAAAAGTGCTTAAAATACTGTAGATCACCAAACCTTATTTTCGCAGGATATTAGTTAACTCCTTATTAGCGAGACAAAATTTTCACAAATTGTGGTTTAACTGCTCTTAGACTATATAATCTTACAGAATACTAACGTGTGCAAGAATAATATTTTCACATGTACACTGTTTCGCGTGATTACGAGAAAATAAAGTTTTGCAAATAAAAAGTGATATGCAGTTAATAAACGGACATTGTCAGAAAATCAAGATTTGTGTCACATGAAGTTCTATGAAAGAGAGGATGGGAAATTCAAAATTTATTGAACCAATGACATTTTCTTTAATCACTCACACATAATGCAATTAAATAGCAGCTAAATAGAATATCACAGGAGCTAATAATTGATCGACGTATATAATCCCAAAGGCTTGTCAAACTTGGTCCTTACCCTAATTTGTGTCTTTATTTTAAACAAAATGAATTCACCTGAAATTGAACTGTATACACCCATCCGTTGTACTATTTAGTGCTTGACATGTCTATCTGAACTTGCCAATAAGTGGCCTCTGGGACGAGCCATAGGGAATGGGCATCAAACCTTTTATCTCTCTGTACATTGGTGGTAACCTATATCACCCTAACGGATGATTTTGGCAACATATTTTGTTGGTGTTGTATTCACAAGTCAACATTGTCTGAATATTAAAATTAATTTTTCCTTGCCTTATTGTAGACACATGTTAGCTTTTGTTTTAAAGATTGTATATACATGTACTTGGACATATTGTAAATATACAGTATAGTCTTTGGATATAGCACACTGCAACTACAACTTACTTCTTTTGTAACTTTGTCAGCTGTTACATGCTTTAGAATTCAGAGACCAGGGGGCCCGTTTTACAAAAGGACTTACGACTTAAGACCAAATTTGATTTTTCGTATAAATTTGAATAAACGTTATATCGAAAAATATTTTAAACTTTTTAAGAGGAATGTGGTATGATATCTTACACAAACAATTTCAAAGAGAAATATTAATTTTGCAAAGTATTACAACAATCTGAAGTTTTTGGTCTTAGTCGTAAGTTCTTTTGTAAAAATGGGTTCCAGAAGAGCTTATGCGATAGTAATGAGTCCGGCATCCGTCCTTCTGTCTTTCTGTAAACAATTTTTCAAAATGCTACTCCTCCTACAGTTTTGGTCTGATTTCAATATAACTTGGCACACAAATAGACTACACTAAGATACATATTTCTGTGTATCGGTTTTTAATTTCGATGAACGGTGTTGCTGTGGTTACTAAAAATAGAAATTTCTGTGAAATTGTTCCAAAATGCTACTCCTCCTACAGTTTTGGTCTGATTTCAATATAACTTGGCACACAAATAGACTACACTAAGATACACAAATCTGTACAACAGTTTTTGATTTTAATTTTGCACAGAAGTAGACTACACTTAGATACACAATTCTGTTTATCATTTTTAGCTCACCTGAGCTGTCTGTCCGTCTGTCTAGCTGTCCGTCTGTAAACTTTTCGCATTTTCGACTTCTTCTCAAGAACCACTGGGCCAATTTTGACCAAACTTGGCACAAAGCATCCTTGGATAAAGGGAAATTTAAATTGTTAAAATGAAGGGCCATGTCTCCTCACAAGGGGAGATAATCAAGAAAAGACAAAAATAGGGTGGAGTCATTAAAAAATCTTCTTCTCAAGAACCACTGTGCCAGAAAAGCTGAAACTTATGTGAAAGCATTCTAGGGTAGAGTAGATTCTAAATTGTTAAAATCATGACCCCCGGGGGTAGGGCGGGGCCACAATGGGGAATCAAAGTTTTACGTAGAAATATATAGCAAATATATTTAAAAATCTTCTTCTCAAGAACCAATGGGCCAGAAAAGCTGAAACTTAGGTGCAAGCATCCCGGGATGGTGTAGATTCTAAATTGTTAAAATCATGACCCCCGGGGGTAGGGCGGGGCCACAATGGGGAATCAAAGTTTTACATAGAAATATATAGCAAAAATCTTTAAAAATCTTCTTCTCAAGAACCACGGGGCCAGAAAAGCTGAAACTTATGTGGAAGCATCCTGGGGTGGTGTAGATTCTATATTGTTCAAATCATGACCCGCGGGGGTCGGGGGGGGGGCACAATGGGGAATCAAAGTTTTACATAGAAATATATATGAAATATATATGAAAAATCTTTGAAAATCTTCTTCTCAAGAACCTCCGGGCCAGAAAAGCTGAAACTTATGTGGAAGCATCCTGGGGTAGTGTAAATTCAAAATTGTTCTAATCATGGCCCCGAGGGTAGGGCGGGGTCACAATGGGGAATCAAAGTTTTGCAATGGGGAATCAAAGCATTCTGGGGTAGTGTAAATTTCAAATTGTCTAAATTATGATCAGTGGTGTAGGGTGGGGTCACAATGTATTACAAGGGGGAAATCTGGTAAAGAACGGAATGGTCAAAGCTTCTCAGGTGAGCGATGTGGCCCATATACATACCCCAAATACAGTTTTAGTCTGATTATAATATAATGTGGCATACAAGTAGACTACACTTAAAGATAAAGAACATAAAAATTATTCTATTTATTGCTGTTGTAAAGTTTCAATTCCCAACTGCTACTTTTCTCTTCTTTTGCTATAAGTACAAACCAGTATAGCTTCAGTCTCGACAGAGACGTCTGGTTTCTCCTAAATTATGTCATATGTAAAGAAGTTAGATAACAATTATATTGTATTATGTAATGTGATATTGAGTTATGTGAATGTTACGTGAAAGGCATCATGAATATTAAATTGTTAACAGAGAAAATATGTGTAGTCTGCTGCATAATGAATAATATAAAAGTATGAACATAATGTATTGTTTAGGCCAAAATAAAATATGCTCTTGGGCCATCCTTGAAAAATTGTTTGTTTGGAATTGCTGCCTGAAGGGTTTCAGACAGAAGAGGGAGGGAGGGAATTTTTTTTTTCAAAATTGAAGATAATTTTAATTTTTTGATAAAAATCTCAGCAAACAGTGAATACATTTTCTGACTTTAAAAAGTATCTACCATCAATTTTGCATAGATCTGACACTACATTTCAGTGTTTTGTATGGTGCATGTGATAAACGGTAAAAAAATTGATTAAATAAAAGAAAAATCTTCCTACTTTTGGTCAATAAAATTTTTCAGTATGGGGCATTTCAATGAGGCGGGAGGCAATTCCAAACAAACATTAATTTTATTTTGGCCTTGTTTCCTGTCACCCGACCTACCTTACATTTTACATTCCGACCCAAACAGTTTTTTTTTTACATTTTCAAATTTTGGGGGCTATTTTCTTGAAATACATAAAGTCAACCAACAATATTTATAGAACTAACACATCACAAGTGTACAGGATACCTTTACTTAATAAAAATCTTTATTAACAAACAATGCATTCATTGATCGAGTATTAAAAATAAAAATTTTTCTCAAAATAAAATTTTTTTCCTACCAACTTACCTTATATTTTTTGGTCAGGGGACAGGAAACAAGATTATTTATTTTCTTTTGGCCTTAGCTTGTTTGCAATTAAAGGAATTTTCATACACTTAATACAAAAATCTATAAAACATAAAAGGGGTTGGGGGTGGTGTTGCTGCTGAATGCATTGTAAAGACTTAATTTTGAGAATAGTTTAAATATAACTGTCACTATAAGTATTTCCAAAGATATACAGAAAACCGGTACCTCAGATTCATCCTCAGTTGTTATTCAGGCAACATATGACTACTTTACATTGATAAATGATACACTATATAGTATTTTTGAAAAACTCTTCTGTCTGAATAGGGATGTGCGATTTTATCGGTATACCGGTATATCATGATTTTTTGTTGCGTGATACGTATCGTGATACGGAGACCTAAATACCGGTCTTTAGGTACATATTATAAAGTCCAGAAATTATTCATTTATTTGTTCAATCTTTCAAATTACAATTACAGAACGTATGAAAAATGTAAAAAGTGAAAAGAACGACATCTTACCATCAAAACATAATTCAATAAAGTAAAATTTTGTTTTTCTAGCATATTTTTTAGAAAAATAATGACTTTTCATATAAAATCATTGTAAAAACTGTTTTTAAAAATATCATGATATTATCGTGATATTGTGGGAAAAAATCGTGATATATCGCGATACGAATTTTTTGGCGATGCCCATCCCTTAAAACTTTCAAGGCATATTCATACATCTTGAAGAGTATACTCTTCAAGGTGTATGAAAATGCCTTGAAAGTTTTAAGTTGTCTCTGAACCTGTGTTTTTGATATGAATGTATGTCTTTACAAGCATGTGTGTTATAGTGTCTCCACAAAGATTAACCCTCTCAAGAGAATCGTAACTTATCCATGATTTCCCATTGTATTTTTTAGTTGCACCACAAATTACCCAGGAAGTTCGGAACTTGACCGTGGCTGAGGAATTAGTGGTCAGTTTTGTCTGTAAAGCCTCTGGAAATCCACAACCTACGTTTTACTGGGAAAAGGATGGGGGAAAACTGAACATAGGGAGGAACCGATTCAAAGTATTTGACATGCCGTATGGTAGCGTTTTGAGGATTGAGACCGTTCGGAATAAGGACAGTGGGAGTACCTTTACCTGTGTGGCGGAGAATGGAGTGGGGGATCCAGCTAGGAGTACGGGGCATCTGAAGGTTTACCGCATTGACAGGGAAGGAAACGGTAAGAAGACATTAGGTAGGGGTTGATGACTGTGTGGTTTGAAAGTTTTGATGTTGCTTGGTCACTATACTCTACATCTCATACCTTTTGTATAAGAATTTTATTTTGAGAAAGAGTGGGGTTTTGGAGAAAATGTTAAAGTTTCATTCATCAGCATTTATACAGTACTGCTCAATATTGCAGGTGAGCAATTGTCAACTATTTCAGCTTTTTTCAAATATTTTCAAATTTTGAATAGATGTGGTCTTTTGTATAATTGCAGCATATAAGACAAACTTTGTATACTTTCTGCAGTTTTCCACTGTTGTTTGACGATGCCTATATATATTTTCTTTCCCATAATCCTCCCATCTACCCAGTCTACCCATAATTCCCTGCTCTCTGTCTTTCTTCTGGACCATCCCTATAAAAATCTTACTTCCGTGTATATATTTTCTTCCTACAAGTTGGCATTTTGTTATCATGTTAAGAAAACATTTTTCAGCAAGATTTTTAAACTAATCAGGAGTTTTATCATTGATGAGTGCAGAACTATTCATCTAAGTTTGTTCTAAAAATTAATTTAATGGTATATATACCTCAATATAAAGATTTCTATTCACTAGTGATCTTTTTTTAGAGATACTAAACATTCAGTTGTCAAACAAATGTCATAGATGGAGGGATTCTGACACTTTTTTTTCAGTTGAATGTGGAATTCCGCACGTACTGAAATGTTTTAACACTAGAAATATGGGTTAGCTTATTTAGAGAAAGAATTTGTTGCACTATTTATCAATAAATAAGGCCAAAGATAACCTATCTTTACTTTCATATATATATATATATATATATTTACAGAATTTCCAGAAGAATATCCCAAAATCATTGTAAATCCAGAGCTAAAATCTGTTGAGGAAGAGAAACCTGTCATTATGCAGTGTCAAGCGGATGCTAATGGATACAAGTTTGATATCGAGTGGTTCAAAAATGGTGTCCCTGTAGACCTGGGTGACAACAAACGGCTCACAATCACAGAAACAGGTACTTGTGTGTCAGAAAAATGATACATTGTACTCTGTAACATCAATACAATAATATATCAGTACAAAATTTTAATCAGGAACAATTTTTAGGTGTCAGAGAAATGAAATACAAGATTTTAAGTAAAGAATATTTATTTTGCTATAAACTACCTTTTAAAACTTCTGAGGAAAATTCTTAGAATATATTTTACCAGACAGAAAAAATCTAAACCACAGATGAACCGTTGATGAGTCAAATTATCTGCTGATGAGGTCACATTTTACAATTTTTGCACCCTTTAGTTTTAAGTACGGGCATAGTATTTTCAATCTTTAAGAAATCTCCCCTACAAACACATATTTTAGTTTTAGGGCACACAAATTCTGTAAATCTTTTCATTGATAAGAAAATAATATAAAAAATAGAAAGCCTAATTCCCCCCAGAAGATGATTGTTTTCATTGTAAATGTATCATAGCATTTGTACAGTGTACCTGTTAGATTATCTATATGTCTTGAGGGGATTGACTCACTGTGATTCTGTGGGTTGTTAACTTCAGTAGAATCAAACTGAGACAGTTAAACCTTTTAGGACAGGCACCATCTTTATTGTTTTTCATTGTCAAACTAGAATTGTGTCCATAGGACATGAATGCCCCACCGAGGATATATAATATATATTAGTAAAGCAACATGAAAATTTGTATGTGTATAAAATTTGATCAGAATATCTTGAATAATGATGCAGCTGAATTACTTACATTAGTATGTATATATCAGCATATGAAGTCTGACACTAATTTCATTAAAGTGTGCCAAGGTCAAAGGAAATACCAAGGTCAAAAACTGTTGATTCAGTTGAAAAGCTCTCATCATTAAGTATCAGCAAATGAAGTTGAAAATATAATTATAAATGGTTTCTTTAAAACTGACTTAAACAAAAATGGATAAAAGTGAGGTCAAGGTCAAATGAAAGGTAAAGGTAAAAAATGATGATACACTTGAAATGCTTACCTCAATATCTATCAGCTTATGCCGTTTGACACTAATTGAGGAAAAGTGAGGTCAATGTTAAAGCAAAGGTCAAGGTCAAAAATGTTGATGCAGTTGCATATCCCTCATCAATATGTATCAACATAAGAAGTTAAAAATATCAAGAAATGATGTCTTTAATTAAAGACTAACTTATACACAATTTGATAAAAGTGAGGTCAAGGTTAAAATTGAAAATTGTTGATGCAGTTGAATTGCTTACGTCAGTATGTATCAGCATTTGAAGTTTGACACTGATTTAGGAAATGTGAGGTCAAAAGTCAAAGGAAAGGTCAAGGTTAAAATGTTGATGCAGTTGCATATCTCTCATCAGTATGTATCAACATATGTAAAAATGATGTCTTTCATAAAACATAGGTAATCAAAGATTTCGAAGCTCACCTCGACGAATGTTATCAGTGTAAGTTAAATACAAATCTCACATCATATTTTCTTAATATTTAGTATTTATCCCAACAACAATATTCTTGAAAGTTGTGTATAAAGGTACATGGACACAGTTTTGAAGTTATTATTTTCTCTATAATATTACGGCTTATGCATTTTATTAGCATTTCACACAAAAATTAATTAAAAATCTTATTTCATATAAAAGATATTAATATTTCAAATTTTTTGGCGGGTTTGATTGACACATCCTTGCACTTTTACAAATTAATTTTATATTCTTAATCCTTAGGAAAAGTGGCTATCTCGTTGTGTATAAATGAAAAATATCAATACTATAATCCAGAAAATTCAGAGTAGACATGTTTGAAAGCAAAACAAACACACAATATATTGTCAGTCCGTGCAGTTGTGGTAAGCAGACTGTGACGATTTAGAACGCACCCGGTGAATTCTAAACATAAACAAAAACAGAACTCGTGCCCTGTTTACAAAAACTGTGTACATAACACGAGTGTGCTCGATTTGCTAAACCCTGTACGCAACTCTTAGTTCGGAATGACGATACTTGTGAAGGAGTTTTGCTTTCTAACATCTCTACTCTGAATAAAATTATTTTTCTGGATAAAAGTTTTAATATTTCTCATTAATACACAACAAGATTGCCACTTTTCCTAAGGATTAAGAATAAGGTTAAAATTTGTGAAAGTGCAAGCATGTGTCAATCAAATCCGCCGAAAAAATTTGAAGTTTTAATAACTTTTAAGTGAAATAAGATTTTTGATTAATTTTTGTGTGAAATGCTATTAAAATATATAAGTCGTAATATTATAGAGAAAATATTGACTTCAAATCTGTGTCCAAATACCTTTAACCCCTTTCATGGCATATACACATTTCTACACATGTAGCGTGAAAAACATGTATAGTGTGAACAAATATTCATAACTTTGTTAATACTGTAGATATCAAGAACTTCAAATTCATTGGGATTGATCTGTTTCCAAAACTTTAACCCAGGGTTCGACACAAACTTTTTTACCTTGGTGGACCGCAGGTCAACTTGTCAAAAATTATTAGTGGACCTTCTCAAAATCTAGTGGACCTTCATAAATGTTTGAATTAATGAATGAATCATTACACAAGGCTTGAAACAAACGATTCCAGCCAGACCTATAAAGGACAAGTTTATTCAACAGAAAGAAATCCAATAGTCAGGATTTTTGTGGCAATATTGTAAAACTTAAAAAAAGTATAAATCTACAAATCAAAAAATATTTTCGTATCATTAAATTACAGTGGTAAAAACCTGCATTTATTTTGCTTCCAAATGTATATGAAATTTAAAATTCCAATTATTTAATTACATATACGTTGTCCATAAAACAAGTTAATTTTTCATGTATCTATATGGCTAAAACATATTTTATAGCAATGCAAAACGGACATGTATATGTATTTTTTTTCAATTTATTATTTATTCAGATAAATAGTGATTTTTTGTTTCTTTTATGTGATATAATGTATATCAAGGAAAAAACAGGAACTGCAGATTCCGTGTTCATAAAATGTATGTAAATCACGGCTGTTTGAAAATCAATAAACAAAAATAAACAATGCATAAATTAATGCAGTTGTCAAAATTAATTCTAATTATCTCCAAACCTGGTCAACAGTGTGCGTTCAGGCGTGAATCGATTTTCTGTTACCAAGTGTAATTTTCACACCTTTCTGTGCATTATGTAAACAGAGGAGAGACTGGCTAAGGCACAAATTTTACATGCTTCTTTTTTCAAGGTCCGTGTTGAATGTTCTAACATCTCAATTTTATTGGAGTCATCAATTTTACATGTAAAATATATCTACTTTCTAGGTTTGGTTTCCTTGATTACCTAAAACAAATTTTATATTTATTTTTTTGTAAAATACAGGAACATGTGTGGAGGACTTAACAATTTGAGTAACGAATGTCAATTTAAAGAAGAGAAAAACGGAATTTTACTGTTTTTTTAAACAGTGTTTAAATTTTAAGTGGACCGATCAGGCGATGGTCCACCTAGTCCAGAACATTTGGTGGACCTTCCAATTTTTTGGTGGACTCGGGCCCCCGGTCTACCATTAGTGTCGAACCAAGTTAACCTGGTCTCTTGTTTGGAAAATATAGGTCAGATCCAGCATCCGAGGCAAGTCTGGTAGTGTCCATCCCTAGATACATCATATGTGCAAGTTTTGTTCAGGTAGGACTTATTAGTTACTTGGGAATGAAAATATAGGTCAGATCCAGCATCTGAAGCAAGTCTGGTAGTGTCCATCCCTAGATGCATCATCCATGCAAGTTTGGTTCAGGCAGGGCTTATAGCTACTTGGGAATGAAATATAGGTCAGATCCAGCATCCGAAGCAAGTCTGGTACTGTCCATCCCTAGATGCATCATCCATGCAAGTTTGGTTCAGATAGGGCTTATAGTTACTTGGGAATGAAAATATAGGTCAGATCCAGCATCTGAAGCAAGTCTGGTAGTGTCCATCCCTAGATGCATCATCCATGCAAGTTTGGTTTAGGCAGGGCTTATAGTTACTTGGGAATGAAAATGTAGGTCAAATCCAGCATCCTAAGCAAGTCTGGTAGTGTCCATCCCTAGATGCATCATCCATGCAAGTTTGATTCAGATAGGCCTTATAGTTACTAGGGAATGAAAATGTAGGTCAGATCCAGCATCCGAGGCAAGTCTGGTAGTGTCCATCCCTAGATGCATCATCCGTGCAAGTTTGGTTCAAGTAGGGCTTATATTTCCTTAGGAATGGACCTGCTCCAAAATCTTTAACCTGGTCACTCATCTGGAAAATGTAGGTCAGATCCAGCATACTAAGCTAGTCTGGTAGTGTTCATCCCTAGATGCATCATCCATGCAAGTTTGGTTTGGGTAGGGCTTATAGTTACTTGGAAATGGACCTGCTCCAAAAACTTTAACCTGGTCACTCATCTGTAAAATATAGGTCAGATCCAGCATCCGAAGCAAGTCTGGTAGTGTCCATCCTTAGATGCATCATCCATGCAAGTTTGGTCCAAGTAGGGCTTATAGTTCATTAGGAATGGACCTGCTCCAAAAACGTTAATCCGGTCATCGTCTGGAAAATGTAGGTCAGATCCAGCATCCGAAGTAAGTCTGGTAGTGTTCATCCCTAGATGCATCATCTGTGCAAGATTGTATCAATATGTGAAGTTTGATAACACCATCTTGAATGGTTAAAAACTGAGCTAAACACTAATTTAAGAAAAGTGACGTCAAGGTCAAAGGAAAGATCAAGGTCAAAAAATGTTGATGCAGTTGCATAGCTCTCATCAATATCTATCAGCATATGAAGTTTGATTAAAATATCTTGGATAGTTTCTTTGAAACTTAGCTTTGAAATAAGCTAAACGCAAAGTGTGACGGAAGGACAGACGGAAAGACGGACAGACAGAAGGATGGATGACGGACATGACAAACACTATATGCCCCGGCCATATTCATGGCGGGGCATAAAAATATATGTTTTAAATCTATTTATGGATCATGCAGTAATGTGAAACACTTGAAACTTTTAGAGATTAAAAGAAAAATATATTAAGTAAAAAATTATAAAGGAC